ATCATTCACACACTATTGTAAGCATGAAATATATATCATCTCATGCCCTCATACCATTCCATGCACACACGCATGCACGCATACGGACAACAACCCGAATGCAAACCGTAGGGTTGCACCAACAAGCATCTGGGCCGCAACTGCTCAGGTTTTACAGTGCATTAACCACGGCCCTATGCGTCATCGATAGAAATACGCCAAGACACGCTCTAACATGATCTCATAGTGAGGAATGGTGAGCAGCGATGTATGCGGAACTAAAAGCCATCCATTTATCAGCCTTCAAGTACGCTGAATTAAGAGATTCAATTGAGAGATTCAAGGCACGATGGGTTGTGCGCGGCTACTATCAAGAATGTTTTTTATGCACCGATCGACATCGTAATCTACATGGAGCAACTGCACATCTACGGCGAAGGCAACTCTAGGGCGTGCGAGCTGAAGAAATCCCTGTACGAGATCAAACAGGCGTCCCGACTGTGGAAACCACATGACCCTAGAATGTACCACCTACACTTCTGTGGGGACTACATCATGCTCACCATGTACGTCGATGGCCTGCTATACACTGGAACGAGCAACATCTTGCTTGATCAGTTAGAGAAGTACCTAGAAAGCCTCGTCGACATCACCACCAACCACAACGAGACGCAGTTCCTAGGACTCAACATCTCCTATACTCCTAAAGCCATCCATTTATCAGCTTTCAAGTACGCTGAACCACTTAATCCCACTGGCACCACCCTCAACTCCTTACCGCATGCCACAGACCTAATCACAAACCCGACAACAAACCCCTCTCTCCCGTAGGACTCCAACTTCACCAACAGCAATTGGGGTGCTTGCTGTTCGCCTTTATCACATGCATGCCTGATTTCTCCTAAATTGCGAGCCGGCTTGGACGGTTGTGAGAATACGCCATCCGTTATTACTTGGACATGCTTATTCCTATTTATATTATCATTTATGTGCATATTTCCTAATTTGTTGCCTCTACTATAATTATTGTATTTATGGCGCCGAATAGGATTGCGTGCATCAAATTTTGCCTCATTTTGGTTATTCCCACGTGACTTAGCATGCACGTAATTTACACATAATTGCTTCGACCGAATTCGAGAAGGTTCCATTCCTGACGGTTCACGAGGCTCGGTACCTTCTAGTCTCGAGACTTGATCCTCACACTTGGTAATCAGAGCTTTTTCTCACTCGAAGTTCTTCGTTCGCTGAAAACCAGCCTTTAAAAAACCGCAGGGGAGATGGCGAGCATGCCGATTCGAGGTACGTAAAACTAGTTCTGCGTTGATTTTAAACTTGCACCGAAGTGGTTATCGAAACAAACATGGTGTGAGAGTACAACGGCTATGCGTACCCATATTTACTTTATCTTGCATCATCTTATTCCTATTATATTGTGCTTGTTTTCCTAGTTCGTTGCATTTACTATAGTTATAAGCACCAAATAGGTTACATACACCGAATTCTGTGCATTTTGGTTTATCACCGCGTGACTTTGCGTAACGCATGATTCCACCGAGATGGTCCTACCGAATTCGGAAAGGACCCATCCGAAATGCTTCGCGACCCTCAGAACCTTCCCTTAACATCCTAGATACTGGCCTTATTTCTTTCCTATATATGGTCCCGTAGTTGTACGCATGATTCATAATTCAGTTGGTAATCAGAGCTCGTTTACACGCGAAGGTCTTCAACCGCGAAAAACCAGCATTAAAAAAAATCCGCGGGGGCGACGATGAAAAGCGCCGATTTGGGTACGTAAATCAGTTCCGGTTTTCGAATGCACATGTTAGGCATGGAGAGGCAAGGCGACAACTTCGTACAGGAAATCACCGTACTCTATGCCGAACAGGTGTAGACTTGCGCGACGCTTCAACGACGTGAGGTGTTGATTGCTAACCAGACAGCAGTCGCCACGGCAGCAACGAATGCAGCAGTGGCGACGGCAAAACCTGACATTTCAACCTGCAGCAGCGGCACTAGCTACATTGGATCTCGAAGCTGCTTGTCCAAGGCTACCGGAGGCGTTCGATTTGTCCGAGGCTACCGGAGGCTACCGATGTCACACATTTCATCGCTAGGTGGAGGCCCAACTGCTTGGGAGAGCAAGAAGCAGGTGGATCAAGCATTGAGCTCGGTGGAGTCCGAGTACATGGCACTCTTCCGTGCCGTATGGGAGATTGTGTGGCAGCGGCGTTTGTTGGCTGAATTGGGGGAGGAGCAACAAGGACCTACCCCACTCTATTGTGACAGCCAAGGTGCCATTTCTCTTGCTAAGAACCCTGTGTTGCATGGCCTCACGAAGCACATGAGGGTGAAATGGCATTGGAAATGAGCATGGTGAAGACAACAAGGCAGCCAGCAGACATGATGACCAAGAGGCTGGTGGAGCAGCAGCATTGGAAGTGTTGCAAGCTGGCTGGGATGGCTATGAACTGAGAGAACCAGATCCTAAGGCCAACAATCCGAGGGGGAGTTTGTTGGTGCAACCCTACGGTTTGCATTCGGCTTGTTGTCCGTGTGCATGCATGCGTGTGTGCATGGAATGGTATAAGGGCATGCGATAATATATATTTCATGCTTACAATAGTGTGTGAATGATGAGGCATGATTTTGAATGTGTGTGTCGAGTCAATAGCGAGTTATCGCTAGTCGCGTGTCACGTCGTTGTTTGCGTGTCGTGTGCGGTTTTCTATTTTGTCGAGTGTGGAACGTTCGGCGTGTCGCAGGCGTGCACAGCAGACTTCCAAGAACTCAAGGAAGATTTTATCTTGAAGAACCAGAGCCTTGGTTTCAAGATTCAAGTGATTTCGAAGCTCTCCAAAAGGGTAAACTTCAAGATAGTGAGAATAGTTACATTACTTTGTGTAGTGTAACATTTCTCTTGGTGTAGGCCCTTGTCGAGGGTAGTTTCGAGGCCCTTCATGGTTGGGGACAGTGTGGCACTGTTCCACATCACTGTACCTTGGCTCTTGGGGTTTGTAGAGGCTGGGAGTCATTCCCAACTCGTAACTCTTCCTAATTTGTGTTCTAAGACTATAGTGGCTGCTATAGTGCTGTTCGTTCAAACCGATGTTGCGTCATCAATACTTGATGAAATCGCGCGATGTAAATTGCTTGTTGTAGGCAATATCAAGACGCTCCATATCCAATTTATAGCAAGTCATTTAAAGCTGTCAACAGAACGCTATCAACGTTTGAAGCCACTGTGCATAAATCCGACTATGCACTCTATCTTTCTTTTTATGCATATTCAAGCCTATTGTTACTATAAAAGTGCTGTCATGTTATGTTGTCCGTCGGTGGAAATTTCCTACGCATCGTCGTCGTCGCTTTCAGGGGTGGGTGAGAAAACTCATGCGGAGCCTCAGTCACATGATGGTCGTGGTGGTGTGTAGCCTCCAAAAGGTCCTTAGCCTCTCCAGCCCTCTCCAGCCTAGTATAAAGGCCCTAGGACCTTGTCCTAGAGCCTCATTATTCAGTTCTGGGTTCATTTTGCTCCCCTAACCGAGCGGGAGAGAGAGAGAGAGAGAGAGAGAGAGAGAGAGAGAGAGAGAGAGAGAGAGAGAGAGAGAGGCCCTAGTCCTTAGCCTCTCCAGCCCTCTCCAGCCTAGTATAAAGGCCCTAGGACCTGTCCTAGAGCCTCATTATTCAGTTTTGGGTTCATTTTGCTCCCCTAACCGAGCGGGAGAGAGAGAGAGAGAGAGAGAGAGAGAGAGAGAGAGAGAGAGAGAGAGAGAGAGAGAGAGAGAGAGAGAGAGAGAGAGAGAGAGAGGCCCTAGTCCTTAGCCTCTCCAGCCCTCTCCAGCCTAGTATAAAGGCCCTAGGACCTTTTCCTAGAGCCTAATTATTCAGTTCTGGGTTCATTTTGCTCCCCTAACTGAGCGGGAGAGAGAGAGAGAGAGAGAGAGAGAGAGAGAGAGAGAGAGAGAGAGAGAGAGAGAGAGAGAGAGAGAGAGGCCCTAGTCCTTAGCCTCTCCAGCCCTCTCCAGCCTAGTATAAAGGCCCTAGGACCTTGTCCTAGAGCCTCATTTTTCAGTTCTGGGTTCATTTTGCTCCCCTAACCGAGCGGGAGAGAGAGAGAGAGAGAGAGAGAGAGAGAGAGAGAGAGAGAGAGAGAGAGAGAGAGAGAGAGAGAGAGAGAGAGAGGCCCTAGTCCTTAGCCTCTCCAGCCCTCTCCAGCCTAGTATAAAGGCCCTAGGACCTTGTCCTAGAGCCTCATTATTCAGTTCTGGGTTCATTTTGCTCCCCTAACCGAGCGGGAGAGAGAGAGAGAGAGAGAGAGAGAGAGAGAGAGAGAGAGAGAGAGAGAGAGAGAGGCCCTAGTCCTTAGCCTCTCCAGCCCTCTCCAGCCTAGTATAAAGGCCCTAGGACCTGTCCTAGAGCCTCATTATTCAGTTTTGGGTTCATTTTGCTCCCCTAACCGAGCGGGAGAGAGAGAGAGAGAGAGAGAGAGAGAGAGAGAGAGAGAGATAGAGAGAGAGAGAGAGAGAGAGAGAGAGAGAGAGAGAGGCCCTAGTCCTTAGCCTCTCCAGCCCTCTCCAGCCTAGTATAAAGGCCCTAGGACCTTTTCCTAGAGCCTCATTATTCAGTTCTGGGTTCATTTTGCTCCCCTAACTGAGCGGGAGAGAGAGAGAGAGAGAGAGAGAGAGAGAGAGAGAGAGAGAGAGAGAGAGAGAGAGAGAGAGAGAGAGAGGCCCTAGTCCTTAGCCTCTCCAGCCCTCTCCAGCCTAGTATAAAGGCCCTAGGACCTTGTCCTAGAGCCTCATTATTCAGTTCTGGGTTCATTTTTCTCCCCTAATCGAGCGGCTCGCGCCGGCCGCCTTCGGCCGCCGACGCTCGACAGCGCGGCCTTCGGCCGCGCGTGAGGGGCGGCAAGAACAAACACAGGCAACAGACACTAAGCAAGGATATACACGCAATGGCAGTTCCAATAAGCAACTAGACAGGCAAGGCATCAATGGGGCAATCGGAGCCCGCATCTACATGCGGTGTGCTCCAAGGGCGTGAAGAACGCCCGTCAGAGAGCGCCACAGCTCCCGGACCACAAGCGTGCTTGCGCCGATCGCCGCGGCTCCAGATCCTGCGCGCAAGTGCCGCCTCAAGCCCCGGACGGCTTCGTCAAGCTGTCCCGCAGCAGCAGCGCCACCCTCCACGGGCGCAGCCAGCACGGGCGCCAGCAGCACCGCGAGCTGGTCCGCCGCGTCCAGGCACGAGTCACGCTGGCGGCCACGGAAGGTCTCAGGATGGATCACAGGGAGAGACGAGTGGGCCAGCACCTGAATCAGCAGCAGAGCGTGGAGACTGTCAGCGAGGCGGTGTAGCTGTCCGAGAGTCGCCTCGGGAACACGGGTCTGCGGAGGCTGGAGTGCCTCTGCCAGGAACTGGAGCGGCTCATCAGCACCGGCACGGAGAGCGAACGGAGCCGCCAACGAGCCGCCACCCGCGGCCACAAACTCCACTCCCGCAACAGGCGGAACCGGCGGCAGATGGAGACGAGAGCCGGGAGCAGGCGCCGATACAGCGGGAGAAGGAGCTGGCAGAGCTTGGATCTGAGGGGGAGGCGCAGCAACAGGTTGCGGGTTCGGGGGGAGCGCAGCCGGACGGGAAGCCTCGTGGGCCGGCAAGGCGCGCAGCGAACCGCTCTGGCTCTGCGCCGCCCTCTCCTCCCGAACCGCCCTCGACACTTCCCGCTGAAGATCCGCCATCGTCACGGGCGGGCGAAACCCCCCACCCCCGCCTCGAGCACGGGGACCCCTCCAATCCCCTTGACCCCCGGGGCGAGCAGTCTAGTGCGACTGTTGCTGGTACCGCCGTGGAGACTCACGCCGGCGACGAGATGACTTGCGGTCCTGGTGGGGAGCGGGGGAATGGGACCGCGACGAGCGGCGGTCAGGCGACGGAGGGCGTGACGGCTGGCCTGCAGGAACCACCGCCGTCACAGCGGGAGCGGACTGACCCGCTGCCGCAGGAGCAACCGACGGAGCCGGTTCGCCAGGGGTGGCGGACGCCGCCTTTGGTGGCAAAACAGAGGCCTGCGCAGGTAGGCAGGGGGCAGAAGCGTTCGGCGCAACAAGGGCGCCAGGGACAGGTGCAGGGGGTTCAGCAACACCCCCGGCAGGGGCAGACGCCGACGGCTCGACAAGGGGAGCCAGGGGGCCTGGCGACGCAGGCGGAGCAGACGGAACAGCAGCGGGAGCGGACGGGCCAGCCTCTGCCCCGGCAAAGGGAGCCGCGGGTGCGTGGGGAGGAGTCTTTTCAGAGACTGCTGTCACGTGTTTCGGAGCCGGAGGTAGAAGGGGCTTCGTCGCCATGGTCGCCCTTTCGAGCTCCGCCGGAGGTCTGGCGACCACAGCCGACCAGGCGGCAGCGAGCTCTGGCGACGGCCCAGGTGCTCCGGCAATCACCATCTCGAGAGCAGGGAAGCCGTGGGGCGAGGAGAGAAACCGTAAGCGGAACGGGCGGAGGACCAGAGAATGGGTATCAGGCGGCGGCTAGATGGGCTTTAAACAACGTGGAGGAAACTAATGGCGAAGACGAGCGGGACGACCCATCTTATAGGGAAGAAGCCCTTCCCGAGAGCGAGAACGAGGAGACGGAGGGGGATGGCATGGCGAGAGAAGGACCAAGGAGAAGGGAAGAGGTAGTGCAGCAGACGGACTTGCAAGTGCCACAGATGGCTCAACCACCGTTTGATGTCGATCGGACGGGCGCAAATCCAACCTCAAGCCCACCAATAAGATCGAGCCGCGCCGGGAGAAACCGAAACGCCAATGCCTGTACCACAGCACGCCCATCTGCATCTTTCCCCCGCTACTTTTCACCGGACGGGCTCGCGAAGCGGACAGACCTGTTCGCAGGCATTGCGAATTGGGATATCGCAGCACTGTGCGACAGTCGTCAGCCTCCACTGTCGCGGCGCTTACCGCCAAACCTATGTCACCTTTTCTCGCTTGCGCTACTGACACCGTTACACCACCTATCACGTAACCCTGATTCGGAGACGGGTTGGCGCCTGCTGCTGTTTCTCCCGCGCCTGACACTTCGCCAGACCTCGCCACAACGCCCGAACTGGCCAAGTGTCAAGGGTCGTCTCCGAGCTTTCCAGCGTGGCGAATGGGATCAATTGTACCAGGACGCGTTGAACGCAGTCAACACACCGCCCCCGCCAAGACACCAGCCGGATGCGACTGGTGTCATCAGCCGTGCGGAGAGCCTAGCGAAACGTGGCAGTCTGCGCCGAGCCGTGCTGGCCCTTGAGTCAACGCTCGTCTGCACACCCAGCCCGGAAATATTGGAGGAGCTGCGCCAAAAGCACCCACCCGCAGCAAACGAGGCGGTGACATGGCCCGAGCCACAAGGGTCAAAACTGTCAATCCCCCACCCTGACTTCGCAAAAATGTTGGGAAGATGCGAGAATGGGGTCGGAGCCGGACCATCTGGGATGACATTCGAGCACCTGTGCGACGCGGCGGTCACCAACGGAATGGTCAGCACCCATCTGCACGCCTTGGTCAACACTATGCTGGGAGGAAAATTGCCAGGCTCGGTTGCAAACCTGCTGACGGCATCGCGACTCATAGCCCTCGCCAAGCCGGGGGGAGGGGCTAGGCCAATCGCAATTGGCGAATGCCTAACGAGGCTGGCAGCCAAGGCTGCCCTGTTAATCATGGGAGAACCAGTCCGCGAATTTTTCCTACCGCTACAGTACGGAGTGGCAGTACCGGGTGGAGCAGAGGCAGTGATCCACGCAGCCAGGGCTTTTTCGGATGCCCGCCCGGACAGCCTGGTACTGCAAGCTGACATTTCAAACGCGTTCAACAGCATTTTGCGGGCCGCCATCGCCGACGCGTTACATGAACCCACTCTCTCGCCACTGCTGCCGCTCGTGAAACTAACATATGGTAACCCGTCGCAACTGCTACTGGACTCCAATTTCAACAGCGCACCACTAACAAGTGAACGTGGCGTGCGCCAAGGAGACCCACTTGGGCCGCTACTGTTTGCAGCAGGGATACACGCCACACTTCGAGAAACGGCCGAGGCACACCCTGACGTGCTGTGCTTGGCATATGCGGACGATGTCACCTTCCTGGGTGACACAGCCCGCACTGTAGCTGCATTCACATACTTCACGGCTATGTTGGCGCACCTGGGCCTCGAGCATAACCCTCAAAAGTGTGCTGCCTGGAGCTCAAGCGCAATTGACGCAGCCTGCCTTCCGCCAGGAGTGCCGTTCACTAAGGACGGCGTGCGGTTACTGGGTAGTTTCGTGGGGCCAGATAGCGGTGCCGCTCAGTTCCTGGCGGGACAACTCGCCGAGATGTCAAAACCCCTACCCCTGCTAGAGCGAGCAGACCCACAGGTAGCAGCACTGCTACTCACGCGATGCATTTCGCGACGAGTTGCATACCTCACCAGGACGACACCACTCCATCTCCTGCCCCGTGATAGATGGAGCCACTGGGGCAGGGATCTGCTTGCCACGCTCCTCACATCGTGCGATATCAGATTTCCGACTTGTCGAACCGAACAATTACGGGTTTGGGAACAGGCGTCGCTGCCGCCATCGTTAGGAGGACTGGGCATCACGGACCCCCTAGTTGAAGGGATTTACGGTTTCGTAGCCAGTTTTACCCAGGCGGCGCTCTATCTAAGCTGCCTACCGCTGGAAGAGGATAACGCTCTCACTCTGGCACGGAACCATATGCTACTGCCGCGGGTCGACAACACACCGCTACACGCATGGCTGACTGAGTGCGAGGAGGCGCTGCCGCTAGATGCGCGGGAGATACTAGAGAAGGAGCGACTTGAGCGTTCGGACATTCGGCTCCAACACGTGCTAGGACTCAAGGTCCACGGTAGCAGATACGCAAAGCAGGTGCAGGCAACGCGTCGCATGAAGCCGAATCCGCTTGCAGGTCACACGCAGCGCATGTTTTCACTTACTGGCTACGGCACAGGCGATTGGCTCACAGCGATTCCCGTCGCTCCCACAAGGCGGATAGGGCCAGTGCACTTCGCCAACGCTGTACGCTTCCGGCTTGGCCTACCGTTTTCCACCCCCAAAAACTGTGACTGCGCGGAACACATGGCTATCACTGACCCCCGCCTCCCGAACCACCTGCTCCGCTGCGGCACAGGCAAGCATCGCACGAACACGCACAACGAGCTGCGAGACGCCTGCGTTAGCATGGCGCAGGACGCGGGGTTTATCGTACACAGGGAGTCAGCGGCCTACTGCCCTATCGAGGAGCAAACCGCCGACTTCACCATGACCGATAGAAGCAGTGGGGCGGTTTACATCTGCGACGTTACCGTCACTGACCCTATCAGCACTAGGGACCCGGAAGCACAGAAGGGCAGGGGATGGGCGGCACGGGAACAGGCCGACAAGAAAATCAAGCATTACGCCAACCGCCCCGAGACAGTTGGCTTCTTCCCCCTGGCGGTCGACACCTACGGCTGTCCTTGCGCTGAGGTACCCGTTTTCCTCAAGCTCCTAGCAGACACAGCGGCTCGGCGCCACTTCAATGCCGACTCAAAATCCTACTACGCCGCCAAGTTTCTGCACCAATTCAGGCAACGGTGGTCGGTGGCCTTACAGAGAGCGCAATCTGTGGGACTCCTCCTAAAGTTAGGCGAGGCAGCGGCGGCAGAAAACCCACCTGTGGGAGGCATAGGGGAGGAGCTGCACCTTGGGGATTGCTTTGCGGTAGCTGAGCCATTTTTGGAGCTCTAGAAAGGGCGGTGGCGTGGTAGTTGTGGGACTGACCGGTCTTGTCAGTTTGGTTGGGTAGCTAGATCTCGCATTCCATATCTTGCATGTCTGTACCTTCCAACACTATCAATATACGGACCATTAGAGAGAGAGAGATAGAGAGAGAGAGAGACAAAGAGAGAGAGAGAGAGGGAGAGACAGAGAGAGGGAGAGAGAAAGAGAGAGAGAGAGAGAGAGAGAGAGAGAGAGAGAGAGAGAGAGAGAGAGAGAGAGAAACAGCTAAGTGGCGGTTGAGGTTCCTAGCTTGGCTGGTTGGTCCAACCTTGATGGGAGGTTTGGCAAAATCTCAATATCGCACACTTGTCAAACGTGCAATTGACAAGTTGGGGGGAAACTACGTACTTGAGGCGGGTCGGACGGCTCGAGCAGGTCCACAAATTGGACCCTAGCAAATTCCCGTTGGTGTCAAAGGTGCGCCCCTGTTCACACGTCAAGAAATTGCGGACTAGTGTGCTTGCTTGTGTTTCCCCTTCAGCTCTCCCCTCCCATGCTCTGCCCAGGATCAACACCTTAAGGACCAGCACCCCCAGAGTCCACTTCGACCTGCCGCGATAGCACCGAAGGCTGCTGCGGTGACTATGAGACGGCTGTGGTGAAGGAGACAACACCGACATGCTAACGAGGGAGGAGGGGTAGAGTGAGACACACCTGACATGGCCGGAACTGGGTGGGGAGGGAGTACCGGAGGCGTAGGACCAGGAGGATGAGAGGGAATGGGGAAGAGGGGAGGAAGGGGAATCGAGAAACCTCTGTAGGGGTAGCGGACGAAGGACACTGACTCGTCAAATGTGACTTCGCGGGAGTCAAAGAACCGGTGGAGGGACGGGTGGTAAAACGTGAAGTCAGGGGGGTCAATTGGGAAATTAAGGAGGACAAAGGGGAGGGTGCGAGCCGAGAGCTTGTCCGCATGAGGATCGTGGACATGCGCAAGGCAGCCCCAGATAAAACCACTGACGCAACACCACGTGACCCAGTCCAGAGGCAGGTCGGTGAAACCTTCGGGCGCAAGATACGTGGCCAGAGGTTCAGCCAGTATGCGTCATAGCGAACTGCAAAGGGCCACATAAAATAAGTCGCACGGGCATGGACCATGAAGGCACGAGCGATCTCCATGACTAAACCTATGTGGCGCTCAGCAACCTTGTTATGTTGTGGCGAGTCCGGAAGCCTAAAGAACGGTGGACCGAAACTCACCCACACAGTCAGAGTGTAGACAAAGCACAGGGAGAGCACCGGGCACTAGTGATCAGCAACAACGGAATCAGACATCAGACAAGTGTGCCCTTTGTTGCAGAGGGAACATCAGACAAGTGAGAGAAGTCGTCAACCACCACCAGGAAGAAGTGCTCCTAACCCGGACGAGGCCCCAGACGTCCAAGTGCAAAGTCTAGAGGGGTGCAGTGGCTGGCGCAATGGAGGATGAGTGAGGGGCGCACAGCCTACCCTCGACGCTAGTGCACGACGATGCAGGAGGAGGGAGAAACGGAAGCAAGTGCGGGAGACCTGAGATAAGACCGTGCATAGACATCTGGTGGAAGCGTGGGAGTGAAAGGTGACATCGGCTGTGGTGACACAGGACAGACGGGTGGGGTAGTGACCGACAAGAGCACGACGCATCAACCTGACTAG